CCCCCTTGGCCTGAATTTCTGACAAAATAAATTTGTCCACCTTCTTGACTTAATCTTCAACAACTTGCTTCTCCTCTCCATAATCTCCTTTGCAAAATTTATGTCTCAACACAAAGAATCTCTCTGAAACAATTTCTCCAACAAAATCTTCATTACTGTCAAAAAGGTTACTGCTAGAACTACACCGCCAAGATGAACACATCTTTCTAACCTGGTTCAATCATCGATTATCGAACCACTGAACCTTACTCCGTCATTGAATCTGGTTCTGATACCACTTGTTAGGATCGGAAATAAGCAGGTGTAAATGCAGAAGCTAGCAAAGCAAACCTCGAAAGACCACGAGTAAGAAGACAACGAGAAATATACCAAAAGACACAAAGATTTAACGTGGTTCGGTCAATCGACCTACGTCCACAAAGAAGATGAGCAATCCACTATAAATATGAGAGTACAAAATACAGAGAGAAACAACCTCAACCAATTCACTCGGAATGCATGGGAGGTTCACACAAGTGATAACGTATCAAGCTTGTGACCCATAAATTCTCCCCCTAACCAAAACTCTCAAAGCCTTAAGACTACATTGTGAATGCTAATTAAGTTAGAAGGAACATGCCTCAATTTATAGAGTCCTAAACCTTTTCCTACAAGAAAAGGATTAGTCAATCCAAAACCTTTTCCTAAAAGGAAAACCTATTTATGGTAAGAAATATAGGGCAAATAAAACCTAACAAATCTCCCCCTTGGCCTGAATTTCTGACAAAATAAATTTGTCCACCTTCTTTACTTAATCTTCAACAACTTGCTTCTCATCTCCATAATCTCCTTTGCAAAATTTATGTCTCAACACAGAGAACCTCTCTTTAACAATTTCTCCAACAAAATCTTCATTACTGTCAAAAAGGTTACTGCTAGAACTACACCGCCAAGATGAACACATCTTTCTAACCTGGTTCAAGATGTTATCATGCTAGTGAAAGTGACAGACAGGGACAGAGCTATATTGTTCGAGGGGTGTCAACCGATAAGAAAGTTACATTTCTATCATAGTTTTAATTTTGATTTTATCTCTCTATATATTAAATGACACATGTACAACTAATCTCAATTAAAATTTTGAGCACTCAATTTTAAGCAGAGTATTGGAACCATTTTTGTTTTTACACGAACATACTTACTGAACTATCAGGATAGAATATACTAGAATAAATATAACCATAAAAATCAAAATTTGACTTATTTCTTTCAACTTATTTAGATATAAGTACATTTGTAAATCATGTCAATACTCTATTGAAGAAGCTCTTTTACATTCTTCAATTAAAAAAATATAATGAATTTTAACAAGTTTGACTAGTATAGGGAAAATTGCCAAGACTTTAGTGAGATACGAAATTAGATGGATCAATTCCATTTGACTTGAAAGAGAAATTTGTAGTATCAATTCCCTTTGATATGTAATAGTCTCTCTCTGCATTTTCTGCCCTAGATTGAAACATTGACCATTCCTTTTCACATCTCTCTCTCACCTGTAACAACAAAAACACAAAGCTCGATTCAAGTTTTGTTTGAACACGTAATGTGATAAATGTAACAGAGAATTGCTTACCCCTCGCCATGCAGCCTTCCCGTCTTTTGCTTGCCCCTGTATACAACGAACAATTAAAAGGTTGTACTTGCTTTAGGTTTGTCGATGTTCAATTCATCGATTACCTCATTTCCAAGGGAAGGGACACTTTGATGAAGAATCCATTGAGCATCAACGACTCCAATTTTCTCATGAGCAGGCTACATAAAGAGAAGGTACACTCAAACAAAATGCATGTGAAAGAAAGTATTTAACAGATTGAATTTTCATTTGATGAGTTGAACTTACTTCAACACATTTATGAAGCGCGAAGTCAAGTCCCCAACCATGGATCAAGTCATTCTACAAGTGACAAAACAACAGAGTCAATTATCTAAACAAAACACAATGTCGATGATCTTCTGTGTTTGATGTGCAAGGTGTGGTACCTGAATCATGTGCCACACACAACGCCATGCATCTCGGGAGAAGACAGGAGCCATGATCTCTACAAATCTGAAAACAGAGAAAATGCACCTGGGGTTATAAGGACAACTTAACAAGTGAAACAAAATAGCAAAAAACAGGAGAGTTATTCATACGCTGCACACGGAGGCAAATGAGGGTCTTGACATTTGCCTGGTTTTTCTTCTGCTAACCTGATCATATAGAACAAGAATATGAATAATAACCAGAGAAAAAATATCAAGAAGTGACATAACAGATTACTCGTGGCTCTTACGTATGAACTTCACCATTGCCTCTTCTAATTGTCATTGGCCATGTTGTTCCTTTTATAGGATCCAAACCTGGCTGTGAAATTTCCAAACCATGCTTCTTGACAAGTTTAATGTACCTGATATTTGACGGAACAATTTAGGAAACCTAAGATATTGGATCAAATCAGAGGAAATTACACGAAAACTTACTCGTTGGCATCAAAATGCTCAACTCCTAGGTCTTCATCCCAGATGAAAATATAGTCATAAGGAGCAACTATGTCTGGATGAAGAAACCTTTTCGCGTACCACCTAATAAAGACAAAAAGTTCTTGTCACTAACAAAGTTGATCACATATCCAGTCCAAAGCTAAACTATCATATCACTTACCATTTTGTTTGTTTACGAGCACTCACGTGGATGGCTCGTTTTGACCACTCAAATTCATCCCATTCAGTTGTCTTACCATCATAATGAAAAAGAAGAATCGTGAAGTCGTCTGAGAACTGCACACGAAAGAAATGGTCAGGATGAGGAGGAATTGGAACCTATGAATGCAAAACAGACTGATATACCTTCTTTACTGCAACATCAATGTTATGTTTCTGCTTAACACCAACAGTAAATGTTACCAGACATTTTGGCTTACTAGATAAATCCTGCAGACGAAATACGATAAGAAGCTACCTCCTCTTCCCAAAAAGACATATTCTTGATTTATCAGTAAAATGTGTTCATTCTTAAGGCTAACAAATGGAAACAGAACACTTACCTCACTGGGGTTTCCCCACAATCTTCGGAGATAGTAATCGGACTCAGAAGCAACGAGCCCTGGAGGTAATCTTTCTGCTCCTTTCGGGTTTGAAGGGACCCAAATCTTATCAGAACAAGGATGAGTATCAGATGAAAAATGTGAATAATGTCAAACATCAAACAGTGTCACTCAATTTGTATAGAGGATATATATACCTTCAATTGCTCTGTAGCATTCTGAATTTTGATAGAAGAATCAGTATGATTTTGAGATGAAACAATATTATTTCTGTCTCTAGCAATAGGAAAGTTGCTTACAATACTAGCTGTTATATTTAGCTGCAAAATTAGAACCAAAAGATATAATTTATTGTACATATGAAAAATACAGAACTACACAAGTAAAACCACGATATGATTGTATAAAAACAGACATTATATCATCCATACCTTTGTTAATGAGCTAGTAGAAAACGAAATTCCAACGAATACACCAAACATTACTCCACAAGCTACGCAGAAGATAAGCCTCATAGTTTCAGCTGACTTTAAAGAACTGGAACTGCAGAACATGGTTCAAAAAGTTAGACAAACTAACAACATCACAAACTTTTGGTATGATCACAAAAATTCAACGAACCTTCGTCCAAAGTTCTTCATGTATAAGTAGAACGAAAGAAGCTTTACTGAACCCCAAATAAGTTTATTAGAGCGCGAACTTAACAATGGCAGAAAGAACCTGGAAAAGTTGCAGCATCAAGCAAAAAAAGAGATGATTTTTATACTAGTCAAAACAGGATGTTCATATGTGCAAAATCAAAAAGACATCACTGCATCCACACTCATGTAACTTTATAATCCACAAGCAAACATATTTTAATTGTTATAGCAAGTTCCCATCAACACAAGACATAAAAAAAATAAAAAAATCAACTCTTGCCAGCTAAACAAATATATAACCATAAAAACACACAAAGATTACACTTTTTACAATCCACAAGCAACTAAAAAATTTGGCCATGTGCCTGCCTTTTGACTATATCAAATTCAACAATCCCCCTTAGATCAATCACTAACTAATTTTAATTCCTTAATTCTTACTCCAATTTTATATAGTAAAATTTCATAGGTAATCATAAGCTTTTGTCACACGTTAAAAGTTAGTGCAACAATAGTAACATTTAGTTGTGACAATGGCCAAATACATAGCTGGGCTCTAAACTTGTCCAATACTTCCAGTTTGATATCTAAGGATCGTTATTTTCTATTAGACATTTCAATCTTAACAAGTATGTACATATTTAAATAATATGAAATATAGTAACCGATGAGTTGGGACCATTATTACTTATAAAAATTTTGAGCAAAAGCAAAAAGAAAAATTATTTTAAAACCTATTTAACTCATCCAAAATAAAACATCAAAAAGAAAAAAACCTATCCCCCTCCCCCAACCCCTCCCATCTTCCTTCTTCTCCACAGCTCCTTCCCCCAAATTGGATTTTCAAAATGCTCTCAAAAAAGAAAAAAAAAACTTTTTCTTTTTTTCTAAAGTTGAAAATATTTTGTTCATAATTTTTTTTCCTTTTCTACTATTATAGAAGGTATTATTTTTTGTTTGTTTATTCCACATGCAAACATACATGGTTCTATTCTTTCATTTTATTTTTTTTAATTTTTTTACACTCTTTAAAGTTCATTAATAAAAATAATACTTTTACTAATTTACTTTTTAAATTTTTTAATACTTTCTTCTTTTATTTTTACTTATCATATTTGAATTTGACACATTTATTAAGAAAATAATGATTGACATGATTATTTCATTATCACACTTTAATAATTGATATTTATTATTAAGTCTTGAAAATAATTTGAGGAATACGTAATTACTATTAAGTATGAAACATGAAAAAAAAACTATCCTTTCTTGATATTAATTACCGAATTTTGAACCCTTCATGAAAGATCAAGCACTCATCAAATTATTGACCTGAACTCGAAATTATAGAACTATAACAAATCTTATTCGAATCAATTGAATTATAATTTATGGAATATTATTTAAACTAATGAAATTATGGGTCAACAGATTTTATTTAAATTAAGCTAATTATGATTATTTTTATTAATTACTAAATCATTTTCCATAAGGCC